AAAATCAATTTCAATGCTATTTTGTAGTAAGAAACGTACGATTACAAATATATTACATTTGGATTAAGAAAACATTTATTTTATCTTCTCTTTGTCTATTATCTTCTATATATTATAAATGACAGTTAGTGTTTACGACTTTTAAAGACTGCTTGGACTTAAATTTTAAAATAAAACTAAATGAGCAGTTATTTTATTGCGATGTCGTCGTGATGTCGGCTGCAATTTTTATTTAAATTCTGTATCTGATCCGGATTTAGTGACGTCTTGCCCCTGTACCTCATACTTCTCCTGATAACAATCGAGTAATGCTAGTCATATATCTAACCCCATTCTCGAACAAATTTTCAACCGAAATCAGGTGACTTCCGGTCCACGCTGGAAGTTCGTGTATTGTTAATCGGGATCTCCAGCCGCTAAGCTTTCATTTATCTGTGCGAATTTTAAAATTTTAAACTGTATCAAATGTTACAATTCTATAAGAAATTTTTTTTAATTTATTATCTAAACACTTGAAATTCTGTCATGCTCGATGACAGAACACTTTTTATGAAAAAGTAAAGATTGAAGAATTGAGAATAGAGATTTCAAAAAATTCAAGAAGAGTTGCTAAATGCATTATAGACAAAAATAATTTACACTTCACACCGGGAATGTTACAGAAGAGAAACCACACTGAAACGGCATTAAAATCGCACATTTTAATAAAAATTGCAAGTACTTTCAATGTATCATATTACAGTCGTCATCGGGCAGAAAAAACTGAATGCGATTTTTAAACTTAAGAATAGAACAGAACATACAACAGTCTTTATTTAAATGTATAAAGGCACTCGACTGAATTACCAAATCTTCATAAAAAATAATAATGATGCATTAGACTTTATTACATGATAATGTTAAAAAATTTGATTTTACTGCCTGATGACGATGACTGTAATACATTAAAAATACTTGCAATTTTTATTGAAATATGTGATTTCAATGCTGTTTATCTTCTATAAATGTTACTAAAATTTGAAAGTTTCAATTTTTTGTCTTAATGTAACAGTTTTAACTTTATTTTAAATTATAAAACATTCCGACATATTAATGGAAATTTTATTAATTCAAAATTTAAAAGACAGAATGGATCCTTCTGTTATATTACTATTTTTATTGCTTTTCTTCCCGAGTTTTGGAGACAAATTCATTTATTACAGTAATAAAAGTAGAAACTGTACATTATTCATTAAATTACATAAAAATCTAGTCTACCTGTAGTTAAATCATCATTTTGAGTAGCAGTTGTAAGGGCATTGCCAAGTGAACTGTTTTCATTCCAAACATTAAATCGCAATGGTTCTAACTGATTAGTATACCATTTTGCTTTGTCTCCAACGAGCGTTGGATCGAATACACCTAAAAGTTCAAAAATACGTCAATTATGTGAAAATAAAATAAATAAATAATTGAATCTTAATTCTTACCAGTATGAACTCTTTGAAATGATAAATTTGTAGGACAGAGAGACCATTCTGCAAAAAATTCTACAGCCTACATTTAAAAATATTAGTTTGTTAATTTTTTGCAATTCAAATTTGTCGATATCATATTTTTTAAACAATTCTCTTATTAATTTATTGTTGTTTATAAAGACGTTAAACCCGTTCGAAATTTACCGACGTACCTGTGTTCGTACAAATTTACTGAGAAAATAAGACGCTTTTGGCCGTGATTGAAGGAAACTGTTAATTTGAAAAGCAACAACTGGTCTCGGATAAAGCCGAAGTGTCCGCGTGTGTTCCGTAAAATTTGCAAGCAAATTTGGAGAATTAAAAAATCGCACCATAGCAATTCGTGTTGCTATATCAACAGAATCCACATCATTGCCATAAATTAGAGGATTAAATCCAGTTGTCAGCGGTGGCGGCGGAGGCTCTTGGGCGACAAGCCGATTTACCGCTCCAGGTTGAATTTTATCAAGATTTTTGATTGGCTGCGGGCTCATACTCATCGACGCTAACGCCTGAAATTTACGGATTGAAAGTAAACGTTTCTCAGAATTATATTAAATCAATGCATTTCGCATTTTTGAATTTCAAATCGAAATAATTAAAACTTTACTTGTTTCAAATGATTCTGAAGAATTGTGGCTTCTGGTTCGGGTAACGGAGGCAAGTCTTCTATACCAGTTGGCTTAACAATCTGGAAGAGTTTATTAATGAAGTTTTATTATAAAAATTACAAATATTAAAATGAAATTTATAAAACCTCTAAATAGGGCAAAATTATTTTACCTTATTAGAATCCAAATCTACTAGCCAAACATCATCGGGAAGTTTAAAGTTACGTTTAAACATCAAAAAACTTGCGGGAATGCCAATTATATATGGGGTAGGTGCAAGCAATAACTGAAAACGATTTATATTTATTTAAAATAAATATTAATAATGAATTTTATAATTAAAAAAAAAATAGCATTAATTAACTATCAAGTGAAGAAATCGGGAAAATAAGGGACCTAAGTCAAAGAAAATTTCATGACAATACAATAATATACTCTTTTTAAAGTAATTTTAAATATGTGGCATGAGAATAATTTTAAAAAGCATCTTTGTCTTGTTCAGAGTGGATGGCTGAACTGGAGAAAGACGAGTGGGGTGCTGTGTAATAAGAAAATAAGTTGCAAAATGAAAATAAGATTATACAGAACAGTGGTATGACCTGCGATGATGTACAGCACAGTGCTGAGACGTGGGCAATTACAAGAACCCAGGAAAAGAAGATAGAGACAGCAGAGATGAGAATGCTGAGATGGATGTGTGATGTGAAGAAGGACAAGAATTAGGAATGATTGCATAAGAGGAACAGTTAAGGTGAGTCCTATAAGAAATAAAATGCAGGAAAGTAAATTAAGATGATTAGAACATGTAGAAAAAAGAAGTGAAAACTGTGTTGGAAAGAGGATTGAGAAGTTGGGAGTGACAGGGAGGAGGAAGAAAGGAAGATCGAAGCTGAGATGGAGAGACAAGGTGGCAGAGGATTTGGGAGGAGAGAGGATGCCCTGGATAGAGAAAAGTGGAGAAGACAGATTAAAGATGGGAATGCTGACATCATATAAGCATGGGAAAAAGCAAAGACAAAGATGATGTATGGCTTGTACGTCTATCTCATCTTAACCACCTGTATTCATTTGTGTCTTCTTCAGGATCCACATTTTCTTCTTCCATTTCACTAAGTATATCCCCAATAATATCAAGATAAAATTGTCAATTAATAGATGAAATATAACGCAGAAGTTTAAATCCTATATCTTCCTCATTTAGCTTTACTGGAACATTATAGTTTTGTTTTAGGTTTCTTAGTTATTAGTAGCTGATTCTTGCAAACTTCCCTTTTTCCAATGCTCACTTCTTTAAACAGACCAATTAGAGTAAGTTTAACGAATATGAAACTTTGGTGTTGGGAATCAAACTAAAAGCATCATACCTGGCTGAATCCGATTGGTTGTTTGTCCATAGTGACGTTTATTTTATTCTACAGTCACATCCTCAAATGTAAAAAACTTATTCATTCATCATCACAATTTAAAAAGGATATTTGACTTTTGCACCATATCAAACCATTCCTCTGGACAAAATACTTGCTTAAATAACTTATTTTTGTTTGTTTCTCAATAGAAGTTTGTATCTGACTCCATAAAGGTGTGACCTCATATAAAAAGTCTATTCTCTGTTGTCTTATATACTTTTTCTCATTCTAGTTGCAACTACAATGCGATTACAATCCAGTTTTTATTTTGTCCACCATCAACTGTCTATCTGTAAAGACAAGAAGATAACATGATAAAGACAATCTAGTCATCGTGTATTTAAAAGTACACTTGGTATTTCTATGCTTCCTCTTTTACAACAGGTTCAGTCAACGAACATGCAACCTTTCCAGTAACACAATTGTGGATACTGACATTTTAAGTCAACAGTTGTCGAAGATAAAAAGCTAGACCAACAGTCAATGACAGTGTTGGTAACACTTTTGTAGATCAGAACAAATGATATTTGTTTTATTTTCTTAATTATTCTTTATCTCTTGTTGCGTAGCTTCTGTCTGTATTTGGTTTGCAAACTTCTAACTGCAGCCACACCTTTTATTGTACTTTTACAATATTCAGTAAATTGCATGTGTGACAAAAGTCACTCCTTAGCAATTTGCAATTTGAACTCTTACTTTCAGAGTTAAATATCATTCTGTAACAGTCTTCTTTCACAGGTTCAATATTTTATCACACAACCATTTGGTGTAATGATCTTTGTAAAGACATGCTACATTCAAGTCACAGTTTAAATAAAGTCTGTTCAGAATTCTGTCTGTATAATGGCTAACATATTTTGGTATGCGGATACGATGGACTGATCTCACTAAATCCGCCAAAACTTTGTTTTTCAGTCATCTTTTCTGTGTTCGCCTTCCTTCTAAAGTTTGCTTTGCCGAAGGTTTCACATACTTGAGGTATACAAACCTCATATTTGAATATCAATTCTATTTACTTTGAATTAATATATTATTGTGATTCTTGAACTTTGTTTTTATTCTTATAATTTATTTCCTTTTAAATTATCTTTATTGTTGAAAATAAATAGATATTTTGTTTCTTAAATGTTTCTAAGTCCCAAAATGAACTGAATATTCTTTGTTGTGTACCTTTAAGTCATTTTCTACACATCTTGTAATTACAAGGTTCTCTCTAGTCAATCTTGCTTTGTTGTACTGACTCTTTAAATTTATGTAAGAATATTCTAAGCTTCATTGCATAGCTTCTTCCTTTTTTTTAAAAACATGAACTATATAAAATGACAGGTACTTAATTCCAAGAGAAATTTTTTGTTTATTACACAACAGTAACAATAGCATTGTAATCTGACTGACTTCCAACCCAGGAAAGAGCATTTTATAATGGGGTAATAAAACACTTTGTGGTTTGTTTACTTTAGAAGTGGGTGTGACATCCCACTTGCCTGGCACCCTCCTAAGAGGATAATAAAGTTTTACTACCCTGACCTTGAAAGATAACCTATAAATCTTCGATTATGAACAAACCTGATGACATCTATGAAACTTGAGGTAATTCATAGCAAGTGGAATTGTGTGTGTTTATTTTTCTGTATTTTTGGATCAAATTACATTATTTTAAAACGTTAAAAACACAATTTCTTTAATCCGTGAGTATTTTATACATTGTTAGAAAGAAGACACAGTGCAGAAATTGAAGATATTATTGTAGTTTCTCATGCAATGCCTGTAATTTCATAATTTTAGAAAAAAACTGCTGTCTGTAAGATGCCATGCAACCTATGTCCAATTCACACATCCACTCCAGGGCTAAAAAATATACAAATAACAATACACAGAAGACAAAAAAAATTAGTATTTTTAAGTGAATTTTTGAAATTTTCTGTAGTTCATGTCATAGCAGTTGAAAACACTGATTCAAACTGATAAAGAGCATTTATTTTTATGCCTTTATTTCAGTGAAAACCAATTAAAATCTTTATTTAGAAATAAATTATTTGAAAACAACAAAAACTAAGACATCATAATTTTATATATACAGTAGAGCGTCGATTATCCGAATCAATTGGGGACCGGGGTTGTTCGGAAAATCGATATTTCGGATAACCAATTATGTACAAAAAAATATATTAACCTATCCCATGTTGAAATTTTTCTCCATTGCATGTCGCTTCGTGTTGAATTTTCGTCGATGTTAAGTCTAACGTAAACTTTTTAAAATAATAATCGTGACTATTGTATCATTAAAAATTATTTCTTTATTTTATACAAAAATAAATATATTGAAAAATATAAAAACAATAAAAAATTATACTTCAGAAGTTAATTTAGTAACAAAAACGTAAAATATTTGACTAACTCAAGATATAGCCAAAGATTGCAGCGCCACAGCACTGGCGAAAATTTAAATTTGCCGACTGGAATTCTTTTGGATAATTGACGTTTTGGATAATCGACACTCTACTGTAATATCAAATACAATAGTATTTGATCTGAACATTCTGTTATGCTAAAATTTCCTGACAAGTCCTTTGGAGTAGGTTAAAAATGTTAGAAAGATGATTATTTTGATGACTGCTGGACTAATTTTGAAATTGGTGGAAATTTTACCTACTACTGTATTAAATTTGTCCAGTTTGATTGAAAAATCACCTTACTAATAGTATATGCCCTGCCATATAGCAACCTGTACAGCTGCCTGTGGGAACCATATTTGTTACTGAATAAACAGGTGTCTGTTACATATCTTTGTTCTTTTAATCATTTGCATATCTATGTCATCTCTAATAGTCTTGCAATGTGCATTTGTTTGTGGTATTGTGATTTCACTTTTGAGAAGTGTAAATATACACTGTCTTTTGGCATTAATTCGGTTTAATTCAAACAAGAATATATACATTTTCAACATTTCAGAAATGCTATCTTCAGACAGAATAGAACATATTTAGAATGAGCAATTACTTGCTAAGACATTGTCATAATGCAGGATTTCAATTTTTTAGATCTTGATGCACAGTGTTTTTGATTTTAATAGTGTCTTGTCCCTGTAAATTATGCTTTTACTGTTAACAAGAGAGCAATGCCAATCATCTAACTCTGATCTGAAGAAAATTTTTGAATTGAAATAACCTGACCTCCAGTCCAAACTGAAGTTTGTATATAGTTAATCAAGGTCTCCAGCTCCTCAGCTTTCGATATCTGGTCTCTACTTTCATCTGTTTAGCTTCATTCTCAAGATTAAAAAAGGACAGGAGGCAGACACACAGACATAGTGGGAATTTATAGGTCTGCAGCTTTAAACTTGCAGCCTGGTAAGAATAAAATTTAAGTGGATAAGTAAAGGAATTACTTTCAACATTTCTGAAATGCTGAAAGTAATTGTATGCCTATTCTTGTTTGAATTAAATTAAATTAATACCAAAAGACAGTTGGTATTTATCAATTGCATAAATTTGTATTTATCAGATCTACAAGAAGATCACTCAAACTACGCCTCCATGAGCATAAAATTGATATTAAAAAGAAGAAAAACACTACTGCCTTAGCTATACATGCCAGTGAAAATGGCATTACACCCAAATTACAACAAGCGACCATGATATGGCAAACTCATCATATACACTAACTTAGGAATTTTGAGCATTAGAAATTTTTTAAGCAAAATTCCAGGCCTTTCAATCAATTTCAATGACAAAAAACAACTCAAGGGTATAGCAGGATATGTATGAATTGGTGTTGAACAGCCAATGCAGGCACACATCATTAGAAATTTAAAATGAAAATTCAAACACATTGGAAATGGAATCACACCAGAAAGGGGTTTTCTCTAGTAGAACTCCACCTGAAAAAGGTCCTAGGATGGACCAAAAACGTTTGTGATATGTTAAAAAATATCTGCAAAGCATTTTAAGATTAA